TTAATGCTCACTTAAGGGCTGGTAAGTTGAACCCATATCTGTCTCCAGGAAGAAGGTTCCTTTCCTGGGTTTCCTAAATGATGATGCTTGATCAACAGGACCCAAAGTAAGTAAATCTTGGACCAAACAGCAGCAAAACTCACATGGAAAAGTGGGGAATTTTTTTCTGGTGGCAAACTAAATAAAAACTCTCAATCAGAGCTTTAGTTCAAGCAATCTGTGAAATATAACCTATATATTAGGAGAATTATAACTGAATCCTGAAGATATTTCACATCAAAGTAAACAGGTTAGAGCCTTTTTAATATTGTTTTGCTTGCTAGTTCCTATTCTCATCTTTTTAGAGGCTATTCTTTTTTCAAATTTATTTTCATTTATAGTAATTTATTGTTCTTCCTCTGCCCCCAAATATTATTTCATACAGAGCACCCAAGAATGAAGGCAAGAAATTTAAGCAATCAGAAATGTAATCAAATAGTTATATAATACAGTACAGTCAAATTTATATTTGTTGGAAAGAAACTTCATTTGTGTCCAGGGATGCTTCAGGTTAAATAATTAGGCAGAGAACTTCAGCTTTTAAAAAGATTGTTTTAAAAATATTATATTAAAAATCTACTCTGGATTTTAAAACAGTATAGAAATTAATTCATAAATTAATATTAGCCCCTTTGCTTGTGGAAATTTGGTAAAGAGCTGCAGTTAAAACCTTAGAGGGGGTCCCTTTGGGCAGTGAAAAATATGGCCCCAAGAAGCAGTGTTGTCATGTTTGGAAAAGTGCTCCAGTTGTGTTGATTCAGGAGCCAGTTCTTCACTTTGGGAGGGGTATGGATTAAACTTCAGTGAGTTCCTTCCGGCATTATAATTCTGTAAGAGAAAAAGAATGGGGAGGGGGCTTCCCAGATAGACTATCATTTAACCCATTGAATTCAACCCCCTGCTCAGTGTGGAATCCAAACTTGAAGCACTGTAAAGAGATGGAGGTCTCCCTTCTGCCTGAATACATCCAATAAAATGGAGCCACCATCTCCCTGGGGAATTGATTCTGGTATCCAGCTGCTCTTTTTGTTAGGAGCATTCCTATTTCTGCACTCTGGAATAATAAAGAAGACGGTCTATGAGGCATTCCCCACTCCCACCTCCATTTTTGAAGATTGGTATCTTGTTCTCCTTCAGTTTTCTCAAAGCTAAATACTCTTGGTTCCTCAGAGGATTAAGGTCCTAATCCCTTGGTCCTCCTCTTTATCCTTCTATGAAACTATTCCAGCTTCTCTGAATCCTTCTTAAAACTGGACACAACAATCAAAATGGGTTCTGAATAAAGCACAGTAAAGTACAATCACATTCCAGTTTGGAAACTCTACTTCTGTTGAGGCAGTCTAAACTTACACTTACCTTTTTTCAATCACGTCACACTTCTTTACTATGTATGCTTTATTTATTTATTGTTCTATGTCCCATCTTTTGTTCATTTGCTCAAAGCAAAGCACACACCACTCCCTTTTTGGTATTTTCCCCCACAGCAACTTTATGAGGTATGCTGAACTGAGGATTGTGTGACTGGCCTTGTCACTCAGATCTGGGAGTAGATTTGAATGAAAATGTCATCACTCCTAGTTCAAACTTTAATTGTGACATCCTCCTGATTCATTTTATAGTCAGCTACTATTTTAAGATCTTTTCCCATAAAGATTGTCAACTCAAATTTCTCCTATTGTATACCCATGTTTTATTCTTGTTTCCTAAGTACATAACTTTCCATTTCTCTGTATTAAATTTCATTCTGTGAGTTTTAGCCATTTTTCTCATGTATCAATAATAACTTATAGTTCATTTCTATTTTCTAGGGCAATTTCTAGCCCTAGCAACTTTGTGGATTTCAATTCTCAGAATTCCCCAGCTAGCATGACTACTGTATTGCTAAGAAATTTAGTTAAAAACCCACACACCTGCAAATTGCCAAGATTGGCAGGATATACAGATTATTAGGTAGTCTACCCATTTTTCTATCATCTACAATGTTCATAATCATCCCCTCCACTTCCTCATTCAAGCAACAAAACACAAATGTTGCACAGTCTAGAGTCCTGAACTGAAATTTGGGGGACCATACTTGATACTTTTGTGATATGGAACCATTAATGAATTCTCTTTCAAGATGATTTTTCCTTTTTTCACAAAGCTTTATTGAATTTCAAAAGAATATAAAATACAAGAAAACCTTGAGGAAAAAAATTTGAAAAGAGAAAAGGGAGGAGCAGAGGGGAAAAAAACTAGGGGGTATAGACAAGAAGAGAAAAATGCTACATAAAAAAGTAACTTCAGACTTTCTTTGATACAAATACAAGCATGAAATTCAAAGACTCCTTGAGGTAGAGTAAACCATAGTACACAGTACCTCTGCAGTCATACACAATTCTAATCCCAAGGTTAAAATTTTGTTTCTTTCAGTTCAAGCAAAAAGTCCAAAAGTGGTTTCCAAGTAGAAATGAAGTCTTCC